TACGTTAAGTACATATATATCTATATATATAAAATAAATTCGTGTTAGTTACACTATTTATAACTCAAGAATGGCTTTACCGATATGGCTGAAAATTGGTAAGGAGGTAGCTTAGAACCAGGAGACAAACATAGGATACTATTTATTCTTTTTTTTTTCGAATTTATGCCTTGCAGAGCTGCTTTTTATTTAACTTATCTATATATTAAGATTTTTCTAAATATCCACGCGGACGTAGTTGCGGGCGACAGCCAGTATGATATAATGATGCTTGGTCAAGTTCTGTTTTAAAACGCCGCAAGATTACTTTTGTTAATTTATTTCTTTTTATAAGTAAGAGTCAACAAGAAGTCATCTGTATTTTTATCTAACATCAACAAACATGATATAAAAAATTGAATAATGCTCCCCCGCCCTCGTGTTGTTTCAACGTCTTTAATTATTTTAATAAACGGTCGAAATGCTTTCATAAATCATCGCAACAGTTAACCATTAGTATCGGGCCGCGAATAAAACCAACAATTAACATATTTTCATTAATTTTAATGTGCGCCACAATGTACGGAGCGCTTAATGTAAATACATTTGAAAAGTAATGAATATTTTAATAACTGCAGCTTAAATTGTTGCATAACTTTTATATCTTAGCCTCCGTTTCCACTGGTGTTTGTCATAATCATCTCATTTGTGCTCGCATCGAAGTTATGAAACGCACATTTAGACTAGAGATGGGCATTTTTATTTTTAGTCAAAAGTATATTATTCTAATTAATTTTTCTAATTTTCTAATACATTTTATATTCACAAAGTTATATGAACTCATTTATCATAGAAATTTTAACCGGAAACGGATAATAAAAGTTTTATGAGAAAAAATTGCCTAAATCAAGTATTGTAGTAATTTGTTTTATGGTTGTAAACCTCTACTCGCTACGCTGAACAAGAACTGTATAGTTTTTCTTAAATTATAATCATAAAAAATTATAATATTGCCTTTAATGATTAACTACTATTTTAGATATCGTAATGAAAATCATATAAAAATTTAAAAATGTCGAGAAATAAATAGTTTGTATTTCTCCATTGGACTAAGGCAGGATCTTATTTTTCTTTTACATGCAAATATTAGGCACAGTCTACTTGGGAGATATTAACGAAACTTGAGACATCAATTTGGTCAGTGGCTTGAGGCATTTCTTCGAAACTGCTAAAAGACAAACGAAAGAACAAAAGCTTACAATGTTGACGAAAGCCAGTAAGCAATATATTCATATTATTAACAAAGAGTTAAACAAAATTTATTGCAAATCTAAGGTAAGTTCTTACCAAAAAAAAGTACTATTTTTAAACAAAATTCGTGGCACAATGTTAGTTTCCAAACTCCGAAACGGCTTGACCAATTTTTATTAAATTTTATATGTCTAGTAGGTCTGAGAATCGGCTTGTATATATTTATTAATTCTGCGCGGACGGAGTTGCGGGAGACAGCTAGATATACTATTATAATCATCTGTACAATTGAGTGACGTCGTCGCGTTGCTTTCGTGAGAGCTATCGTGAGTTTTTACGCTCTGACCCTCAAGTAATCGCACGAATACTATTAGCTAGGTTTCATTTAACCCGACAATATGAAAAATGACTCCACTTTATATCAATCATTCGCCGCGACTAGCCCTCTTTCTTTTAATACAATAATTGGCAGCGTGAGACGCATTACCGTACAGTCGAATTAATAACTTTGTTAGACACTTTTGATTTGTTGCTGACAAATTTATACATGTAAAGACACTCATACTGTAGCACTCTGACAAGTAAATCTACAGTAATGTAACCCTTGATTTTAAAACAATAGAAGGTAGAACTTAAAATTTTAAATTCATCATTTAAAATCGAAGAATTAGTTACTTTTTTTAAAGACAAAAATAAAAACTTTAACAGTGGTAGAGCCCGCTTTAACATCTTAGCACGAATTGGCCCAGCTCGCCCGGTGAAATACCACGACCACACAGAAGACAAGCGTCAAGTGGAAGCAATTCCGCGTTTCGTCTGATGAGTGTGCGTCCCGGAGGCCTTATTTAGTCCTCTTTCCCTTCCCACCCTTATTCTTATAAGGAAAGGATGAGAAGTGGAAGTGGACTTCCCGGATGAGAGGATGCATGAAAAGGGAAAATATTTTCTCTCTCTGCATCCTCTCCTCCGTCGATAAAAGGTAGGTAACACATATGCAATTGCGTATGTGTATGAGCAACGGTCACTTCGCTATTTCGGCGATTTAAGGTGGCCGCTCGCTCGTTTGCCACCTTATGATATAAAAAAAAAACAACTTCGTAATTCAATCGGATTAATAAACAAATCATACGACTATTAAAATCCACTTTGAAATAAGAACTTGGCATATTGTAAGTTATAATCCAATAAGATCATAAAATGAATCTCTATTTAATGCTGTTGACAATAAATATTTGATTGTGTGTTTAAATCATTGTTAATTTAATATAACTTCGTGCACGGGGGGAGTCTTGAAAGTAATTTGTAAATGATTAGCATTTAAATATAAAAGGTCGTGTAACTTATGGTGATTGTGATTTTAAATATTAGTCGAATTCTTTTAAAAGACTTTCATTAAAGTTCAAATATCCATATTCATACACGCTTCTCTCATCATACATTTAAGTTAAAAGATGAGTGACATTTTCTGTTATTTAACGGTGGTTAATCTAATTATCATAAATAAACTTTACTTAACGCCTTATTCTATGTTATGTTATATTCCTAGGTTTGTATATTCATCAAAGTTTGAACGCTAATAATTCTCCTATTTGTGTCATCATGTATCACACCAAGTGGAACTCACTCCTCACCAACAAAACGTATTTCAAAGTTGTGATATTGTGCTTATCAAAGTCGGGCCTAAGTTTCGATTTCTATTTAGTTTCTTTTGATGCTGTACAGTCAGCTGCTTAAAAGTGTTAATATTTACAAAACTTTAGGAACATGTATATGCCTTTTAAAATTCTTATGCACGTATTCGTCAAGAACATGTACTCATGGACGAAAAGCATAACGACCGATTCGTACATACAAATTTTTAAAATGAAAATGTACATAAATTTATGAAGTTTTATAAATGTATAAATACTTATGCAGCTGACTGTACCATAGAATAACGCCTCGAAATAGTAGAACAAAGTGTAACATTGCTTCGAGTAAGAACTCTCTATGTTAGGGTAACACAACTAATGAAAATACGGTTTAAGATTTGTATTACACAACTAATGAATGTACTTATTTTGGTATTCGTTTATGTTAGCCGGTTAATGATTAATTCGTTGGTTTCATGGAGTTTTTGTTGAACAATTAGAAAGCTTGTGCGTGCGGTAGCTACTCGCGTGAACTTGTTCTATACTAAAACAAGTGAACGAACCTCGAAAGCTTGCCCATTTATTTATTTTTAATTAGACATTCTCTATTTCGGCGACCTTTTCGACACTTTATGGCGGAAAATTAGTTATAGCTAACACGAGGTTATTAAATTCTTTAAATAGCATGAAAATAATTAATTTTTGTTTTAATTTAATTATTAATAAGTTACGTTTGTAAGATTTATGCTACATTTATTGTTTTTCACAATTTATATAGGTTCTTTTTTGCAACTTTTAGAAGTTACGATATCAATGATAAGGAAATTATAGTTTTAAATGTAGTTTAAACAATTACAAATGTTAATATACGTATATGTTTTATTCCTTGATTTAATCTGTCACCAGTATTTTTTACACATATTATTTTTATCAAATTTATTTAAATAGTAATCTGAGATCAAAAGACTTATCCAAGATATTATTTCTTAATAACTACGAACTATAAATGACAAAATTTTTAATACTACAAAATTTATTATAAATTAATTTCGATAGCTACCTCTATCAACTAAAACGGTTTAAAACCGCGTCAATAATTTTTCTTATTCATCATTACGAAATGCATAAATCAAATGGAGTGGACGTAATCATAAATGCCATAATCTCATTTCGATAGTTATTAACCAGTGTTACATCATACGTGGTTAATGAGGCTTGAATTAGTTCGTGCTTACACATCAAGAGGTCAGCGTAGACTGGTCGGCGTGACATTTGCACGGTGGGCACACCTGCGCTGCGCCGGCGCAGGTAGCCGCCGGCTGTGCGACATGTGCGACTAATTTGTCGGCAACGCGTCCGTCACCGCCCCGCGACGCCCGAAGTGTCCACGAAAACCGACAATTTCACCCGTAATTCTATAAAATTGCCACACGCAAGATTGTTGTGGCCAGATTATGATGTACGGATATAAAGATGTCACGATTTGGAAAGTGCGCTGTTTATTGTTAGAGCTATAATGTAATTTGATATTTAGTTATTAGATACGCTTGTACAGTAGAGACGTTATCTTACACATGCATAGACGCGTGAATCAACCTTAATTACAAACGACATTCAAAGTAAAACTTAGTCTCTTTACTTGCAATAAACATAAAATTAATTATAATTAAACAATAAAGAAAATATTAGTATATCGTTAAGTAAATCTAAAAAACGTAGTTTGCAACTGATGAAAAACAGGATAATTATCTTTAATTTCCCATAAAAAGCAGCAACGATTGCTATCACTCTTCAATTGCGCTTAAAGTCCTATTAAATTAGCTTTTTTAACAAATTTTGCATTCCTACAGGTAATTTAAGATACACGTATCGTACATCGCATCATCGACTTGACGAGGTAGCTATTCGTTTAATTAAACTTTGACGCATGCTTTATAAAGTTGACGATGAAAATAGTAGATCAATGATCAAGGATAATCACGCCTACTGTAATAAGAAAATTTTATACGTAATTATGATTGATATAAAATGATTTATCGGCAAATAATTAACTACAGTATGTCTGTAATTGCTACGACTGCCTGCTTATCTTCTTATTACGGTTAATTAATAAGCGATCTAGTTTTTTTAAACACTAACCTGTCCATTTTTATCCATTTCGTTGTTGGTAAGCTTGACCTTCTCGAAAGATACGACTTGTTTGCGTAGCTGATCGCCGGCGAAGGGTGAGTCGGGGTGCGGGTAGAGACGTGCGGGCGCGGGCGGGTCCGCTTTGCCGGCCACCAGCCACGAAGAGCGGTGGTAGGCGTAGCGGTACCGCTTGCCGTCCACCGGTACCACGTCTAGAAGTACGGCGTATCGCGCCTCCGCCCGACATCCCGCGAATGACACGCGCACTGTCGGGAACATGCGTCTGCAACAATAACATTACATAGGTACATAACACTGCCGCTGCCACACTGTTTGATATAAGTCTCCCACATAAATCGCAATAAAGGTTCTTTGCTGCCTTTCTTAATACTATAATTGCTTCCCACGCATGTTTCACTGTAGAAGTAACCTCTAATTGATCCCTTACAAACGTAAGTACCTTTGTAAGTACCACGAGTTTTATGTTCAGTCTACGTTACTACTAATATTTAATACAGAAAAACAGAAACTTTTACTATTTATTATAAACAGAGCCGTAAAACACCAAAAGATTTATTGATGTTGTAAAACATTATGACGTCGTCGCTAAGAAAGTCTAACCTTGTTGCGACAAATTGTAGGAACATAAATTCCACTTTCAGTTATAATACGCTACTGACCCGAGCAAATGACTCAACGCTCTAATGACCCCAAAGACCGAAAACCAAATTAGATATAAAGACACAAAAAGCTTATAACCTTCGAAAGTGTTTTACGAGACCAAAACATATGCTCATAATAAAAAAATATGATTAATGCACAGGTACAAGAAAGCACCGATGATCCCGGATACGGACGGTGACTTGTATAATTACAGGGTGAAACGCGAACTAGGAAATCAAACAAATATGATGTATTCGATTTTAATGCACCCCTAAATGGGCCAGAGCGCTTCCTGCCCGCCGTACTGCGATACCATCGCCTCGCCTTGCCTCGCCGCCATTTATAACTTCGCCTTTCTTAATTTCCATTTTTTTTTCGTACATTTAAACGGCATTTTCATAATTTTGATAACCAAACAACTAATAGATAAGATAATCTAGAGCGGCAATTTGTCCGGTCGCCGGACGAGTCCGGACCTCATTCGTAACGCTACAGTTGCTCCTATTATATTACCAAACATGTTAAATGATATACACGAGTCGGTAGGCGCGTAACGATCGTTAGGGATTTATTATGGAATGCCTTCAGTAATAAAACGCGGGAGTGAAAGAAAGAAATATTGGCGTCAATAAAACACGGGCGCAGTGTCAACCTTCCTATAATACCGGTATGATAATAATAAATACATGAGACCTATAAAATTCTCGGAGGTCGAGCGCGAAGGTAACGATAAACTCGGGTCCAGAGTTAAGCACATACCATAAATAAATCGTATTAAGGTGTGTGTTTGAACGATCGGGTATCGTGCGCGGGGGATCTCGGACAGTCGACAATAACTGCGGCCTGAGCGCACTACGCGCAGAGATGAATGTCGCGTGTGCGCGTGCGCGTCGTCTGCCGTAATGAATGGCATCCGTCAAGGACGACAGACGATCAACCACCGATCCCATCATCAGCTCGTCGCTGACAGCCACTATAAATTACTAATATTATCTGCATAAGCATTGCAACATTCCACTAACGATGTCGCTAATATCGGGACAAAAATCATCTCAACACATTTTTTCTATAATATGGTAAAGATGGGGCCATAGCGTCGACGTGACTTCTAACTTTAAACTAAAATAAGTTCAAAATTAGATCTGCATGGGTAAGCAAATAGGTTAAATTATTATGTTAATTTACGAATATTAAAACATTCACCAACAAACGTTTCAAAGCAATTAAACCTTATTTTACTCGATGCCCTAAAAAATTAAAAAAGAATTCCTTATTCCGTTAAATTGGAAACAAAGTATTATTTCTTTTTGTTAAAATATGTTCGCGTATTGAAATTAACTTATTACTAAGTACATACTAATTTTCTTAAACTAAAAATGCAGCAATAAAGTTTAATTCCAACACATTTTGTAATAAATATGCGCTAAGCTCACGATCGTGTTAGCGTTTTTACTCCGCGAAATATATTAAATTTCATGCAACTTACGTCACTTGCACCTGCCACTGGTGTCTTATTAATGAGCCTTAGATGTGTTGATAGGTTAAAACCAGGGCTGTCCAAAGCGTGAAAAAATCTGCAAGATTTTATAATTCACCGATACATTGCAGCTTTTAATATAAGTATCATAATTGACATGATTTTGGTTGTTAAATAAAAAAAAAAAAAACTTAAATATAAATACCGGTGCTATTCAAACTGAAACTCAATTAACGCATTATAATAAATACTCGATTATATTTTACAACCGCGATGAAAAAAGCATGATATCAGCTGTTTGTAAATTGAGTGTTATGCCTAACTAAAGCAATCTTTGTTTTTTTTATTTATTTACGTCTTTTAGTATTCAGTTGGTACGTAGCATTAAGTTCAAACTGATATGAGACTTTGAATAACTTTTAACAATGCTTGATAGGTCCAATATAGCTATGGTATTAAACATTCAACATTGCATCATCAATTACATATAAACCGTTTAGTAAAACTAATAAAATAAACATTTCAAAAACATCCGTTGCAGTCCCGACGTCTTGCTAAAGAATTAGCCCCATTAATTTGAGTGAATAATTAAACGCGCCGACATAAAGGTAACAATACTATATTAATGCGGCATTTCACGTGTAATAAAGTCGACAGAGTTATCCGCGAACGGCAACATTTGCATAATTCATTAATACAAGTCCGCGATGCATTCGATAACTTAAATAAATACTGAGCGTCGGTGGCTCAGGGGTTAAACACTTGACTTGTAATCTACAGGTCTTGAGTTTGAATCCTGCCACGTACCAATGTGATCCGGAGTTCTAACGATTAAGGAAAAGATTGGGGTGCAACCTGAACATATATGCGAAGAAATTCTAATATATGTGTGAAGTCAACCAATTCACACTGTCAACCCTCGATGGGGAAGTATAGTGAGCTGATGATGATGATGACGGCTAAATGGTCTTTATGAAATTTTGCACTGATGTAGAAGATAGTCTGGAAGAACAAAAAGAATACTTATAAATTTTTTCCTTTAATTCCGCGCGGACGGTGTTGCGGGCGACATTTAGTTTACATATAAAAAATCCTCTACAATGTCGTTAAATTAATTGTTTCTATTCCTACGAAACAATTGCTATATGTCCTTATATAATTTGAAATTGTAACAATAAAATTTTACGAGTATTGACATATTAAAATATCCATAAGAATAACAATGAATAGTGAACTAATATATTGTTTACATTTTCTATTTTGTTGCCAGTAATAAATATGTATGGTCGGAAACCGCAAGTGGAATAAACAATGAATGGATTATATTTTCTGTTGTAAGAAGACTGCAATTACGGTCAACCACATTGAGGGAAGGCGCGAACTTACTTCGTCTTTGTTAACTAAAAATAGGTTTTTGCATTTAAAAAAAAACAAAGAAAAGAAAAAGTTAAAGTTTAATTTAAGATGTTAGTTACTTAGGTCATATTTAACGTCGAGATAGATTGAGAAATTTTTTAATACTGTCGAAGGTTACTGTAGAGTTTCGTTAACAGTTAACAGTAGTAGAGCCCGCTTTAACATTTTCGCATGAATTGGCCCGGCTCGCCCGGTGAAATACCATGACCACACAGAAGACAGGCGTGAAGTGGAAGCAATTCCGCCTTTCGTCTGATGAGTGTGCGTCCCGGAGGCCTAATTTAGTCCTCTTTCCCTTCCTACCATTTTCCTTATAAGGAAAGGATGGGAAGAGGAAGTAGACTTTCCGGATGAGAGGATGCATGGAAATGTTTTCTTTCTGTGCATCCTCTCCTCGCTATGGGCAACGGTCACTTCGCTATTTCAGCGATTTCAGGTGGCCGCTCGCTCATTTGCCACCTTATGATATAAAAAAAAAGTTTCGTTAAACAGAATTGTCTTGAATTAAGAATTAAAATAACATTTTTGTCGAATGAATAAATGTGAATGATCCTTTGAGACATAATTAAGATAATTTTTAAAACATGTTCGTCTTCCACCTAGCGACAAAACGGTGCCTTGAACTGAGAAGTTAAAAATAACTTCAATTTTAATTGTGACCTTTACAATAATTTCGATAAAATAAGAAACTTTTCGAATATTTTATATACAACGCGGTTAACAATGTCATTTTGACAGGGATGTTAAGTTTGTTTTTTTTTTATAAACTTTGTGAAACCTTAATTAAAGTGCGTTCAAAGAATGACTCGTTATAGAAAGTTTTTGCAAAAAATACAATGAAATGCGTAAATAATAAATTCCTTGGATACTTTCTAAAATATCAAGAACATCATTATCTCTTGTTTCGAAGATAAATATTTAAACTCTTGCAATTATTTAATTAATTTTTTTAATTTTTCTTTTAGTTTTAAAAGTCATCAAAGGTTAAAACTTTGAAAAGGTGCTGCGTGTACATTGTTCCTCTGTTGGATTTAAACAAAAAACGAACAGACTTAAATTTCACCTTTAATTATGACCTTTACGTTAATTAAAAAAAAAAACTTTTAAATATACACAATTATAATCATTATTTCGACAGGACTGTATGAGAGCTTGTTTTAAGAACGCAGAGTAACTTAATTAAAGTCTTTAAAGGACACATAACAAAGAAAGTAAACTCTAACTAAATATATTTAAATTTATAAATAATAAGTAGCGAAGAAACTATTGGAACATTTCTTTAAACATCAAGGACGTCATTATCAGTACCAATCTAAGATAAATATTTATAGATGCTGATGAAATTATTCCATTTCTTTCTTTATAAGTTTATTCCTATAATATTGTTGTTTTCCCTCTTTAAATGAGCTTTTAAATGTTATCACATGATATACATTATGCACCTGAATCTATGAAATTTTCAAGACAATTTCTTATTTTTTTTTTATAACATAAGGTGACAAACGAGCGAGCGGCCACCTGAAATCGCTGATATAGCAAAGTGACTGTTGCCCATAGACATACGCAATTGCATATGCGTTGCCTACCTTTAATCGACGGAGGAGAGGATACACAGAAAGAAAATATTTTCCCTTCCCTTGCATCCTCTCATCCGGAAAGTCCACTTACATTTCCCATCCTTTCCTTATGGGAAAGAGGTTGGGAAGGGAAAGAGGACTAAATTAGGC